ATCCTCCTTCCTGCCCAGCCCCATCTTCTCATTGGTTGACCTACTGGAGTTACTATGGGAACCACTGAGGAGAGGCTGCCACGCTGAGTGTGGGGTGCTGCATCCAAAGGGTGCTCCATCACTTCTTTATGGAGTTCAGGAACCCCCACATGTTGTGATGACATCTGTTTGTTGAGGGCTCACAGTTTACTCTGTTTGCACCTCACTTGGTCTTTTTTAAAAACCTGAACTCTTGAGCAGCATTACCTAATTCAAAGTTCACCCCCTAACTCATTTAATTTCTAAATAGATTTTTTTTATCATCTTAAAGGCGTCAGCCTGAGTTGGCAGTTTAGTCCTGAAATACATGATCACTCTTAGAAAATGTGTGAAAATAAAAGCAAAACTGACCTTATATGATCTGAAATATTTGCTTAGCTCATTAGCGTTAACTGGTGGCATCAACCTTGTGTCTCTGTTAGCAAAATATCTTGAGAACCACTGGACAGATTTCATTGAAAGGGGTTGCACATACGTTATGATGTTAAAAAAGTTGTGGGATTTTTTAAATAATTTTTGAAGTTTCTCTTCACTAACTGTCAGACACTTTAATATATTCTTTTTAAAACTTACATTTATTGGACTATTTCTACCATGTCACTTGTCAATCTCCTTTTTCACTCAAATGTCTGTTTTTTTTATATAAATAACCTTTCAGTCCCTGGTTGAACAGTTCAAACCTCAGTTCTGATGCCATAAATGTAATGACCAGCAAGTCATCCCTAATCAGAGACTTTATACTTAAGTGTGACACTTCCAAAGAAGATGTTTCAACATTTTCTTTACTTCTATATCTTGTGTTGAGTGTATATTCAGTGCAGTTTGTGACGTACGTCTGTTCACATTATACATAACCTTCATATGTTGGTGTGTTTGTGCTGAAGTGTTCTGATAGAAACTCAAAGTGACAAAAAAGAAGATCCAAGAAAAATAATCACTAGGTGCGCATCTACACGTGATTTTCTTTTAGAGTCAATCCAATCCAAGATGGCCTCCACTGCTAACTGAAAATAGCCAACACAAAAATCACATATAAGACTCCGTTTTACAGATTGTGAGCTAAAATCTGAGAGTCATCCTCTGCAAAGTATCTGAGCAATAACACGTCATGCACCATCTAACAACGTTGCATGAAATCCTGCACGGTATGTACACGTTTTGATGAATATGGCACTAACTTGGTCGCTCCAGAATAAAAGTCTTAGTTTAAAACTGCAGCATGGAAGGTGGCAGGCGGTGTGCACGCCTTCAGACAAGGCTGGGCCTTTTATTTATCCTGTTTTCTCACTACTTGCTTGTGGAGGCAAGTTGGTAGAGAAAACTAGAGAGTTCCTGGAGAAACTTTGACGGGGACTGCCACGATGAGTCCATTTTAAAAATCTGATTTAACAGTATGTGTTGTGGTTTGCTCTCGGCTACCAACACACCAAACTTCAGCTCAATTTCTTATAAAATAGCTGTGTCCTTGGATGTTTTCCCTTTTAGGTAAAGTGGCCATCTTGGATTTTTGATTTACATTAGGTAGGTATAACATCTTGTACTCAGCTACGAACAAACCAAATTTCAGCTCAATATCTGAAAGAATGACTGAGTTGTAGTCAAATTTGAGTTTTAGCTGTGGCAGCCATCTTCATCCAAAATGGCTCCAAACTTTTATCAGTGTTTTGTTCAGTGACCTCTCCGCTCCAGGTCACATGACCTCACTGTGTCAGAGACTGTGAAGAGTTATGTCCTTATTTTTCAATGAGAAAAATGGCGTCTTTGTTTGTAAATTACGTCACCATGGTAACTCAAAATGTCAATTAAAGTAATAGCACGCGTCACTGTTGCAGAGCCGATAATTACGATATAACATTCGTGGGTGTACATGTTGCTGTTCGGGCGCATTAAAGTTGATAGAAGAGCAAGACCCTTTTCAGGTGGATAATAATCGGGGCTGCCTTTCTAGTCAGTCACCAATAAAATAAACTATTGTTTTTTGTGGAAAATCTTAAATTCTTCTTCTTCTCTCATTTATTCAACTACCGGCCAAAGTTTTTCTTACAAAGGCAAAAGCTTCAAGAGCTCCGTCGCATTTCATAAAGATTTTCTCCTTTATCTGAATGACGAGCACAAACTAAACATCTTTGACTCTCACACTACAACAGTTGTAGGAGCACTCTGAAAGCAAACGTCCTCTTCCGGCAGATTAATGATAAGAGCAGCTGGCACACACTCGTGTGCACCAGCATGCACCAACACGCACCGCTCCCTCGCTGTCAGCATCCCTTGTTGTGATGTGGTGGGCTGGCAGGAGTAAGTGTCTTACGTAAGGCTTTTACATAAACCTCGACGTGCAAAAGTAGAGCAAGACAGAGAGGTGGAGGGGGGTGGAGGGTGCTGCACCATTACAAAGGGGATTCGCACTGCACCAAATCCTACTGCACATGCTAATGCACCTACAAAACAACGTGCAAGATTTTTAGAGCGTTTGTCTTTGATTAAACTATGAACTTGTGTTTTTAAAGACTCACAGAGTCACATGCATGCTCTATTCTCATGCCTGCATCAGTTCTGTCCCTCTAGAGTGCAAGAGAGGACAAGGACTTTGTGTTATGATCAATGAAATTAATTGATAACCTATTACTCTCATACAAAGCTGACCTTTCCTAATGTTTTGTTACAACCCAAATTGTACACTGTGCTGCAAAACCTCCAGCATGACGCACAGAATAACAAAAAAAGGAACATTTTATTGTATTTTTTCTAACCAGAAATGTAAATAATTCCCTAAAATTGATGCATATGTGTTGACAAACAGTCAGAAGCTCATTTATCAGCACAAAAATGGTTTAATTAATTTAAAAAAAGGTAGATGGAAGTATTTCACACTGTAAACAGGCCCACAGTAACATAAACAGGAGAATAGGACGCGTTGCAAAAGTTCACAGGAAAGCTCAGAGTCAACGTTACAGAGAACTGCTTCAGGCTCCAAGAAATACTTGACACTGGCCCCAGGAGTGTGAATATACGTTCGATCAAAGCAAGAAGTGCTCAGAGGGAATTGGAAATTGGAAAACTTAGTGACACACAGATCCCAACATGTAAGATGATCTGAGAAGGATTCCAGTTTGAACAAGTAATGCATAATAATCTGCTGTTGAGTTCAAAATGATTCATTCTTTACGCAAGTTTACAGCAAATTAGCAGGGGTTTAATTGTTTTTTTTCTAATAAATGCCATAGTTTAAAATAATCTAAATGTATCAAAAGGTTTAGTTGCTGAAAATGATTATTTTTAAACCACATACCCTGTGAAAGTCTTTTTGCCTAAGACACATCTGAAAACACATTTTCTCCTTTCCCTCGGACAATCGGTTCAAATGAAAGAAAAGTTTAAATTTAATGTAAAATATGCCAAATGAGGACGAATTAAACACGAGCCAAGAAATCTAACATGATCCTGTTGAGCTGAACAGTGGTTTATTTTCTGTATTTGAATCACTGTTGCTGCTGGAATCAGGTCATTTCATGCTTTAACCTAAACTTCCCCATCAGAAGATTAAAATGGAATTCAAACCTGTGACGTTGTCATGAATAAATCATCACATCCTAACATGAACTAGCACAGCCCCAAGCGTCAGCAGTATCCTTCTTTGAATTAAATACATTTTGCTTCCAACTTGTCTCAACAAATCTCTGACGAAGAACTGCGACCCACTTTTAAAACAAGTGGTGTTTTTTTTTTTTTTTTTTTTAACTAAGCAGTGGTTGATTCAAACGTTTTTATTTCCCAGACCATAAAAAAAAACAAGAAAATAGTAAAAATAATAATAATTGTTTGCCTTGCTCTCATGAAACAGAACTGGAAAAGAAAAGATCTACAAGCACACCAAGCTACATTCAGATTCATATACGGCTGCGGTGGACCCTAGAAAAGTGTGCATCCGTAGAAAAGCCAACAATGGAACGGTCTATAAACGCATTCAGCATGATAGCTTAAAAGAGAAAAACTGTTTTGCATTATGTTCAGGCTTTTTGCAAAGGACAAACATCGGGGCATGACTCCTCATCCTCATTCACTGATATCAACTTGTATAAAAAAAGGACCAGAGAAGAAAGAAAGTAGGTGCAACACAAGTTTGGTGCATTCACAGTTTGCGATCCGGGTTATGTATTTTATATAGAGAAGCTTGTAAAAAAGTATGAAATCAAATTAAGAACAGTTCACAGACTGGGAAACCTGTTTGTGTCCCCCTACAAAGAAAGTTATCCAGTGTAGCTACAAGAAGAGTGACTATTGTTCAGCAGTTTGCATACAGAAAAAACTTGTAGATGACATTCCCTGATGTTGTGCCGCGGGTGTGTGGCACTGCATGCGATGGTGCGTGTGATCTTCAACATGCAGGTGATTAGCTTGTACCTGTGAGCAATGACGCATCAGTGCAAATTATCTTTTTGGGTTTTGTATTGCAAAGGTTTTGCAGGTTTCCATTGGAAGTGAAATTACTGTAAATCCCAGAGATTGAATGAAATTGTAGCAATAGAGTATTGGTGAGATTTAAAAAAAGCCAACCTGAGTCCTTTCACAAATAACATAAAAACAAGTGTCCACCACCAAACAAGATTATACGGCTTTTGCTTTAGCTGCAAAGTAGATATAACTGAGACAGATCCATTTGTGGATTTAAGTTTACAGTTCTTTAAAGAGTGAGTGGTCCAAAGAAGATCGTTCTCAAAATTAATTACGTACAAAAGCCAGACAATGACTGTTGTGTTATTGAAGGCTGAGGATACTGTTGAGTCCATCCTGGGTTGTAAGAGGCTGACAATACACTGTATGTGTCTGGTTTTTTTTTTAATACATTGGCTCTGAAATCACAAGTTTAAGAGGTAATTCAATAGAGATTAACAGGATTACTGTTAAAAAAAGAAGTTAGAAATAATAACAATGAGCTTTGAATGAACCCAAGCAATGTTGTGTGGAATTCCGTAGAAAATGTCAAAGATAAAAAGGTGCGTCAAGTGACTGTCCAAATCAGTCAGAAGTCTTTCCAGGAACTAACAAGATGAAGAATGTATGATTTCTGTGATGCATGGATTGTCAAAAGTCAACCTCCAAAGTGCAATTGATGTCAGAGAAATTTTAGCCCAATGTTTTTTTTTATTTGAGTCTTCTTGTGACTTTCACTCGTGACAAAAAGACTATTCTGGTTCAGGCCAATATAACTCAAGTAACGTTTGAGAATGAGAAGTTTTAGGGTTTAAGGGAAATTTATACGATGTTAACAGTACAGCTCAACATTATTCTTGGCTTGAGAAAACCTTTGGCTCTGCACAAGCAGCACTGTAGCAATGCACACTCGAGGCCAATAGTAAAAGGAAATCAAGCGTTTGACAAAAACTACTTCTTGTGTGCAGTTCCTCTGGTTGAGCTGGCAGGTTTGTTCCCAGAACGGCGAACAGGTACCTTGGATACAGGGATTTTGGTACGAGCTGTTGGGGCTGCTTGGGTCTTCGGCGGAGAGGATTCCGTCTCCAGAACAGACGAAAGGGCGGATTGGCTCACAGAGTGGGGGGGTGAAGTTTGTCTAGTACTTATTGGGATCTTAGATTCTCGAGGAAGGCTGGTGCTGCCTTTTATTGATCGGAAGGAGGAAGAAGAGGAGGAGGAAGGTGGACTTTTTGGAGAGGTTGGACTCATTTTGTATTCAGTGGAAGGAGAGGGAGTACTATTTGTGTCTTCATCTCCTCTTTGATCCTCTTCCTCTTCCTCAGGATCGTTGTACAGGTCGTAGAGGTGGTCCCCAGAGCAACTGTCACGGGATAGGGCAATCTTTTGGTTTCGCTGTAAGCCACTTTCATCAGGTGTTGCTGTAGGCGTCGCTGACGGTGTGTCCCAGTATCCTTCATCACTAAGTAGTTCTTTTTCACTTGGTGATGTAGGATGACGACCATGTGCGTGAGGATTTTGGGGTTTAGCTGCCCGACTTCCGGCTACACCAACAACTGGAATCTTACTCAGCCCCAGTGCCTTTACCTGGGGTGCCTTTTTGTCTCCACTCTTGGTAGTTGATCGTATATGGCTGCTGGCTGGGTTGGTGCGAGGTGGATGACTAAAAGTCAGGGTAGTGGAGGAAGCTTGACTCAGTCGGGGCATAGCAGGGGAGTTGTCTCCTGTTGAAGGCAACATGTGCCAGAGTCCCTGCATGTCGGCATCATCCACGCCTTCTGGACTTGCCATCTCTTCCCCTCCTCCCATGTAGGCCACCACGCCACTACCGGCAGGCTGCTGCTGTGGTGGAGGAGGCACTCTGGTCCGTGCTGGGAGGGACACAGGGACTAAGCTTTGGGAAACAGAGAAAATGGACTGTGCAATTTGGGAAGGTACTGGAGGTTTAGATGGGGAGCTACGAGGTGTGGCACCAGATATACCACCAGTTCTTCCGATACTTGCACCCAGACTCCCTCCTCCACCCCCACTGCTGCTGCTGCTGGTTCCACTGCCACCATTTCCTGCTGGCCCTTCCTCATCTGCATCAGCAATAATGTCACCACACCCTGTCAATGAATCAAAGCTCTTGAGAGACGTGACATCAGTGAAGAGGAGAGAACACAATCGGTCCACTGAAGGCTCTGAAGGCTGGTCGCTTATGCTGCAGTGGTCCAAAGGGGGTGTAGTGAGGGGAGGTGTGATGCTGGAAATTGAAGCTTTGGCCTTTTGTATAGGAGGGTGCAGTGGTGAGACAGTGGGTGTGTAAGGCAAGAGGGAGTCTGTCTCAGCAGATGGTCCTGGCATGGCAACACAGTGTGTGGGAGTCATGGTAACGCTAGTGGTTGGGGTGTCCTCAGCTTGGAGGTGAGGTTCCGCATCTGCATTCTCACAGTCCTCTTGGTGATTGTGTGGAGGTGGTTCAAGGGTCAGAGTAATGTCCTTTATGTTTTCAGATTCAACAACCTCTGCATCTGTTTCCTTCTTACCTTCCGCCACTTCCCCATCTCCCTCGTTTGTTTTTTCTTTACGTCTCCATCGCATGCTGCTGAAAAAACCTTTCAGGCTCCTCCCTCTCCTCCCAATTCCTGCCCCTCCATTTTCACTTGTCCGAAAACTCCCACGTCGGAGAAAGGAAAAGAAACTCAGTGATTTGCTGAGAGACCTGACTGGACCTGCCTCCAGGCTAGCAGACCCCTCCCCTCTTGGTCCAGCAGCATCATTGTTAGGACTCGTTAGTCCATCGTGTGTTTTGCTCCTCACAAACTCCACTGATGCTGCAGAGCTGCTTCCATTCAGAGAATTCCCGTTGTCAGAATTCCCGTTGTTTCTGCCGTTCATGGCCCCTTTGTTCCTGAAGGAAAAGAAGCTGGCCATTCCGGAGCCGGTGCGTCGCTTTCCAAACAGTTTGAAGGCAGCTTTGTTGATCTTCCCTGTAGGCTGGGGGTCACAATGAGGGGCCACAGGAGGCTCCACACACTCCGACTGCACCTCCATTATCCAGCGCGCAGTTGCTCCCACAGTTCGCTTTTCTCCACCTCTTTCCTGCCTGTCTATCCTCTCTCTTCCTGGTCCCACATGCACTCACCTCGTTCTCTCCTTCTCCCTCCACCCTGCTTTCCGCTGCTCTTTCACTCCCACTCTGACTCGCCTCAACGCCAGCCTGCTGGTTTATCTCTCCCCTCCCTCTCTCCCTCCTCCCTCCCAACCCTCTCTTTTCTCTCACTGAGGCAAGCACACACATGCTGCTCCTCGCTGTATCCATGACAACTGGGTGGGCTAAGCAGCTTTCGTCAACGTTGGCAGGGCGCCAGTGTCTGTGCTCTACTCCCTCCCCCATCCTTTTCCTCCACCTTGCTTCTTACCAATTACACTTTTCTTTTAAGTGATCATCAGCCAAAATTCCCACAATTCACTGCTTCCATCTTTGCATGTGTGCATTTTTTTCCCAGGTTCTTTGGCACATTAATAAACAAAAACACATCCTGAGCATCATGAAATGTTGCTCTTTGCTTTTATGTTTTTCTGTTAGATTGTGCACTGGAAATGCTAATTATAGGCAGCACATGGATTTTATCTAGATACATGTATATATTTAGGCTATGAAGGTGAGAAAAGCTGATGGGAAGCATTGTACAATCCTGCATTGGGTTTGTATAGAAACACTTGTGTGACTTCAGCTCTATTTGGTTGAAAACATTTCAGTTTTACAAATACACATACATACAAGAATGTGAAAGTAAACAACAACAAACCTTTCAGAAACCTGCAAATCAACAGTATTTGTGGGAATAATCTGTGATGTATATTTAGAATCATTTTTTTAGTGCAGTTGCATCGACATAGTCCTATTTTTAACACTTCAAAGGACTCGACAAAGATGTAAAGTAATTTTTGGAGTCCACACAGAACTTTGAAATAGCCTTTATGCTAAATTTGAACGAGAATTTCAACGTCGACTTTAGACCGTTTCATAAACAACATTAAGGTAAAAAAAATATATATATTTTAAATTATTTACTGTAAATGCAAAGCCTGTTGCTATTTTCTTTATCTATAACAGGTACTGTGTGCAGCACAAGGTTTTGTGACGGCACAGACTAGGCATGCACATAACAGATGAACGATGATAAATTCACATTCAGACGACGCCAAAGATGAAACAGACAAAAGAATAAAAATAGCTTTTCTTTCGAGGAATGCATACTGTCTGCCGTCTTACGTGCCAAAGTTTTAAACAGTTAGCTCACAAGATCTGTTAGAGCTCAGAGTAGGCGTGAGAGAAATCACTTGTGCTTGTTTTATTCTTTTTTTTTTTTTTAATAAACAGCACGTTAGCACTTCGTATTGGACTGCGTTGTAAAACTTTAAACGCAGGAGTTAAACTGTACCATGCAGATGATCTAAAACATACGAGTGCAGTGTTAAGTTCAACAACTTTAAAATTATAAATGCATGTTTGCACAGTAACAGCACATCTTGTACAGTTTGGACATACAGTCCATATGGCTGCTGGTCCTCCATATGGACCCATGAGGCCAGGTGTCTGAGAGCTATGGCAACACTTTTAACAGCCCTCCTGTCATCTTAAATCAAGGTTGTGTGTAACCAGCCATGCAACCAACAATACAGTCGTTCTTTCTGCATTAGGCAGACAGTTAGCACGTACCAGGACAACCAGCACAGTTCCTGTGGGTATGTAGTCCAAATCACAGCTCAGGGGACCCCAACAGCCTCTACTGGTTGTAAACATACAATCTGGTTTTAAATTATGAGGAAAATAAGTATACATATATTTGAGACTATCTGCCATGAAATTTATTAACTGGCGTAAATAGCTATGCAAATAAAATGTTCATTTTGTTTTGTTGGGTCTGTGCGTTTTTTCACTGCTCGTTTTTATTTATCTGACCCATTTCCAAGGGCTTCCCCAGAGCGAAGCACCGAAGTGCCTCTCTTTCCTCCAAACAGGACCAATAATCTGTCTGCTCAACCTGCGGGCAGGTTTTCAGGTCTTCAGAGCCGACGTCTGTGAGTCAGCTGGCTGCTGGTGGACCTGGAACTGCCCGAGCAGCAGATGGCCGCCGGTGGATTGATGAGTGGTTTCAGTTAACGCATAATGAGACAAAGGCTTTTGCTCAGCTCCTTGGATGGAAGTGCACGCTGCTGACGCCAATTAAACCCAAGTCAATAATTTAGGAGAGAATATATCAGTACATTCATCATTGAAAATACTGCTGCATACAGGTACTGGTAATTTTCCAGTTTGGAAACTGTCTCCTGTGGGGTTTAATTGATGTGAAATGAGTTTTTATCTGTTTGCTCTTGGCAACATGTGCTCTCTTCAGATATTCAGTTTGGAGTCTTTCTATTGTGATAAAGAAGATAGGCACATGCGTGTAACAGAAGGAGCGCACACCCTTTCCCCCACCGCCTCCCCATACACACACATTACCACACACCCTCCACCCTGCCTGAACAGGATCCTATTTCAGTCCCCCGAGTGACGCTGAGTAAAAAGTGGGACAGTTAGAGGACATTTCTTTCTGTCGGTGCGTCTCATGTTTATGAATTGTGCGTGCACATGCAACCAGTAGCATCTCAATGTGACTGCAAAGCTTTAAAAAAACTCCTCTCAGACATTAATAAATACTCATGTTTATGGTTTATTAAAGGTATGCATCACATGTGATGAACACCAGAACAAAAAAACATCAAGACAGAAAAACCTGCACAAGATTTTTTTTATCATACGGGTGGTTAATGAGTCCTTAAATCGAATCTGTGCGAGTCGAATTTGTGCTTGTATGCTAACTACCAAGTGCATTAGTTTCCTATAAAAACAGCCAAAGTGACAGAAAATCGGGCAAAGGATATCAAAGTTCATGCTCAATAATCCAGGTAAAAACAACAAAGTTAAGTCAGGTCCTCTGGACAGTTTCTTTTTTTTGTTGAAACCTTTCGTCCTTCATCCATAGGACTTCATCAGTCCGAGGAGCCACAACAAACACAGTCCCACAAGCAGCACACACACATAGTGGACCAAACAGTGTGATGGTGATAAGATGGTTTCTGGAGTCCGCCCTCTCCCCCGTCGACTCCTCTGAGGCAGTCATAACCAAAGTGGTTCAAAACATCAAAGTTCATGCTCAATAATCCAGGTACAAAAATCCAACAAAGTTAGGCCCTCTGGACTGTTTCTATTTTTGTTGAAACGTTTCGTCCTTCATCCTGATGAATCTACTGATGAAGTCCTTTGGATGAAGGATGACATATTTAAACAAAAAGTTAAACAAACATCACAAACAGAGGAATGCATTCACACCCTTATCGGAAACAAAACATCTGAGATAACGACTTGCTGTGTGGCATTCTCCCCATCTCGTCCTTTCCTTGATGTAACTGGGTCTTTATGGGCACTGGGTGGTTTCAAGGCACACCTTTGGCAAATGTAACACATCAAACGTTTGTCTCAGTAAGTGTATTAATCTTCGTTTGGCTTTGAATAACAAAGTTATCTGGTTTAACTTCTGCTGCCACGTGAGAGCATAACGACTGTAATTAAATGTCTAAAGACATGTAACAGACCCGACACAGACCAATGTGCAAACAAAGCCCGGGTGGGGCTGATTGGCTAACGCTGAACCACTGCACTGTACAAACAAGTTGGAGTTGGTTCTGTTGAACAAGAACTGATTAAACTGACACACCCGCACAGACATCATCATCATCATCCGGGCACGGCTGCCCACGTTGTGAGGACAGGGGCTCTTACAGATTTAGATTAAGCTAATATGTGTGTGTTCACACATTCACATGTCTACCCACAGGATTAGTGCCTGAGCTCCTTTGTCACTTAACTGAACAACAGGGGGAGGAACAAAGTGCTGCAAAGCTGTCTAAGACCAGACCATTTTATGTTCCAAGGATTTCTACAATTTGTAAAAATATTTTGTATTTGTCAAGGAACACCTGTACAGTAATAGTTCAGACGTTTTCAAGAAGGAAACTAATGAACAACTAATATCTTACCTGTTGTAGATGACTGCTTGAACAACCTCTGCTTATTTCCGACCAGACTGATGAGCTAACGAATTGTGAACTGCTGCAGACTTGAAATAACTCTGATAGAAAAAAATATATACAAAGCAGTTCATTCAAACAGTATTTTATAAAGTTTACATTTGCATTGCAAAGTTATTTACATAGAAACGTGTGATTATTTGCAGGCGCACTGCACTTCCAGCAGGAATATTGTAAAAAAAAATCCTGCCAGAGTAAGCACGTGATGTGCAACTGACATGCACATGTCGACATGAACTGCTGATTAAAGTTCTCGTAACTTTGATCTTGAATTTTCAGTCTTAAAAGCTAAACCTGCTCAGACTTCACTGTTAGTTCATCAGTCTGGTCTAAAATAAACTTTATTTCTCCAAACTGAAGCCGTTTTAAAGAGCCTTCTACAAAATGTATTTATTGATCTGCACAGTATCTCAGGCCCCCACTTCATAAGGTCTGAACTTTTGCTTTAAATCAATATTAAATACCTTGAAAATAATCTAAATCCGTGTATTTATGTTAAATAGGTGACATTTTATACCATATGAGTTATAACGTCACTGGTCCATTGTTAAACACATCTGTGGGTTGTGTGTGCTCACTCATTACAACGATTTGCTGCTATAAAGCTTTTATTTATTTATTTAATAAATTACAGTAGTCCCTCGCTACTTCGCGGTTCGTTTTTTTTGCGGACTCTCTCTATCGCGGTTTTTCAAAGTTGGAAATGACACATAAATGGCTGATTGACGGATGAGCCGCACGATCGGCATGGATTTTTTAAATGTAACATAAATTGTTTTAAATTATTTAGCACCTGTGTGCACTGCAGCCCACAGCTGTGGGAGAAGCTCCCTTCTGCAGCTGATCACAAAGTGGGCGTGGCTGAGAGTGCAGCCAGAGGCAGAGAGCTGAGATCATGACAAGCTGTGCTCTTTTAGAGCATTTAGAAACATTGTTTAGAATATTGCAAGAGTGTGGGAAGGGTTTATATATATATATATATATATATATATA